AACAATTATTTCGAATTATCTTTGTGCACTTGTTAATCTTTCATGAATCTAAGACTGAAGGAGATTGTCATCTCCGACTGCAATTCGTTTTACTAATGGCAAACGTGCTGTATTAACGGTGAAGGTCCGCTTGAAATATGATGAAACTTTATGAATTTCGCAGGGTTGAGACACGAAGCGTCTGAAGTACTCAGTCGAAAATAGCGATAATCAGTTGTTTGTGACAGCGAAAGGCTTTTCAACTATATATCCACAATTTCAAATGTAACAATCCCACTTGAGCGTTTTTTTGTGCGTCCATTTTAAATTACGTAAAGAGCGGCTTCAAACACTCACGGATACAAGGATTTTTCTACTGACACTCTGAACTACATCCTTGCCGCCGACAATTAAATAAGCAAGTTTACGCAAGTACGGACATCGTCTGTTTGTTGAATCGCTTTAAAAAATATTTTGGATATCTGGTATTTCCTCTCGGTAAATTGCTTTTAAGTAATTTTGCTGCCATTGTTCTTCCATAATACTCATCAATCATACATTTATTTTCTACATTACTTACACGCAAATGTTTCTGTGAATTGACCAGAGTTCTTAAGTAAAATATACGTTCAAAACCGGTCAATCGTACTATTTTATAGAGCAACTCCAATTGCCGCAATTATGTGATAAAAAGGTCACTGCTCACTGGCTTGTCAAAATCCTAGTTTCGTCTATCCCAAGAGTATACTTTAGCAAAATCCAAAGTCTGCCAAATAATCATCGCAATCTGTTTCGAAGGGACATTTCTTTAAATTCTTGCTGCGTTTCTAGTCTGCTAGCGCGGCCAATTTTTTTGTGAGATGCTTTCAATCTCATCTTCACTTCTGTTCTAGCCGAATACTTTATCGATCAGTTCTACAGATCACGTTCAACGGTTTATCTCCGCTTTCTCTGATCCTACATCAGGCTGCAGGTTCTTCTTTCTGTCATGTTCGTTTGAGTTTTCACTCCGAGCGGTGTCAGTCCTTTTCCAAGTCAGCAAGAATAGGGCCAATTACCAGGACTGCAGGATTATCATCTCAAGTGTTATTTTTTTCGTGTGCAGGATTTTCCCCTCCCCATGCAAGTTGTACCTGTCTCTTCTTGGATGTACTGTTGGATGCATTTGAAGAAACGAGCATGTCTCGTGTAGCGGTAGTGTTTTTGTCATCGAAATTAACGCCATGAGGACTGATGATCTGAGGATTATCTTCATGGTTGTCGTTCGGGTGGGCTTCATTTTCATTCTCGGAATTCCGTTCTTGCCCCTCGCCTTGTTGTCCATTTTCCTGTCCCACAGCATTGCGTCGCGATGCAAAGAGTCTCCGATGGAATTCTTCCGCTTCCTGTAAATTTTTCCTTAAAAACAACTCAACAAATGCAACTCGAAATTGCCTCTTCTTTATGGTGTAAATGACCGGGTTAAGAAATGAATTGATCAACACCGCCACCAGACTAAGATGACGAACTAATGTTTTAACATCCGATGAAAATTTTTCACTGAAAATAATCCATATAACAAATATGAAACTCAACGGAAAAAAGAAACACAGAAAAATTGTCACTAGTATCATCGTAGTTAGTTTTAAGGCTTTCTTCTCCAGTAGAAATTTTGCTCTGGCCTCAGCGGAAACTTGCTGTGAAAGAATTTGCTTTTCATGACGCCGGACTTCCTTATAAACGACAATTTGAAATACAATGATTGAAGTAATGGCTGTTAGTAAGAGAGAAAATGCTATGAACCGTGAATACAATGCAATGAGGAGGTATAAGGCGGCTGCAATCCAGGCCAGAGCAGAGCAAAACATGACGCGAACTTTAGTGATGACAGAAGCGTGAGTGAAGGTGTGTTTAATGGCAAGATATCGCTCTCCGTTGATTAGAACCAAGTGAAACAACGACGCCCAGCAGGAAATTACGAGGTGGACAGTAAATGCCAAATCAATGTCACAGAATTCGTGAAAATCTTTACCTTGTAGAAGGAAAATTGTAATTGCTATGTGAAGAGGCTGTACAACAAGTCCAACCATCAGATCGGTAAGCGCCAAACAAGCCAACAGAATGTTAGGATGCGTTTGAAGTCGTCGTCTGGTTTTCACGGCAACCATAACCAAAGCGTTCAATAAAATGGTAAAAGGACAAA